TGGTGGGAGGCAGCAGGGATTACCCAGCACTGGCAGGAACAGTGAGTTCGAGGTTTTTTTGTTTTGTTTTTTTCTTAAAGGGCCAGAACTGTGGCCGTCAGGACAGCCATGGGGTGGGACTGGGGCAGTGGGGAAGGGGGCTTGTGCAGAGCCCCCCACACAGCATGGGGCAGTTGTGGGCAGTGGGGACTGCCCCCTGCCCAGCAGCGGCTGCTGAGTCAGGGCTTTTTTTTTTTTAACAAGTGCCGGGAACTGGGGTGGGTAGGGTGGCCATTGCCAGACTGGGGAGGGATGGGCCTGGGTGATTCAGAGATTCGGCAGCAGCCAAATCTCCAAATCAGATTTGACCGAAGCATTTCGGGACAGTAATTCGAATCACTGAATCGAATCACTGCCCCCCAAATTGGCTGAATCCAAAGCAAATACTAGCCACTTCGCATAGACCTAATGCCCTATAGCTATGACTTGAGGAGAAAAGGAGACCTCTGATCTCTCCAAACCCACCAATCCTGGAAAAAATAACATTTACATGACTGGCTGTATCACAATCTGTTGATATATGTTGCCTCAGCCTCCTGTCTATACTCCAGTTTCCCGAAACCATCAAAGGACACAAGAAGTTAAGCCAGGAGGCGGGGGAATGAGTATGTGTCAATCCCATATAAATATAAATATGAGTAGACTTTGATCACAAAGTGGGTGGTTGAATTACAGCAAGAATGATTTTATTTTTATGAAGTAGGGCTCAGTTTTCAGCAGTTTGGAAATGTTGGCTTAAGCAGTATTTTAAATGTGACTTGTTAAAATGTTTTAGCCCAACACACCATGCCTGCCCTCCTGTACTGAATTCCTGTCCAAGTTGCAGATTTCTTGCTCTCTGGAATTGTTCACCCTGGTACATTTTTTACTTCAGTCCAAACACTCAGTGCCCTCCATTCAGGAAAACAGAAGTGAATTATAATGAACAAGTCTCTGAGTATTTTTGCTAAAGGACATTAAAAGAATGCTAAGCACTAAACACTAGATGGGTTCATGACTCATATAACCTGATTTATGTTCGCCTCACAAGTGAAATTTGTCCAAAGCACGACACATCTCAAAATAATAAAGCATTAAAGGTTGGAATCAAGCCTAAAAGGCTTAGACACACGCATCACAGATAGTATTTAATTAGGCTTTTAATCAGCACTTGCCAAAGTCGAAAGCATTACGCGTCTCAGCTCTTCACGTCACATTCCCTGTTCTTCTGGTGCTTCCATTCGGCACGATGTTTCTTAGTGAGATATGCGCCATAGCACGCCTCCTTGTGACTGCACGCAGAGCAGCTTCGGCACAAGTTTCCATAGGTTTTTCCAACAGTAAGATGTTGATCTGCAAGAAACAAATGTCCATTGCTTAAATGCTAAATCCCCTGCCCAATTCAGGGCCTCCTTGGAGTGCCTACAATGGATTCCCACTGACATCAGTTATTCTCCATTAGCGTCTGAGCCACTGGAGCTCAATTCTCTCCCTTGTTTGCTAGCCTTGAGGTTGAACTGTCAGGTTGGCCCTTTCTTCCTCCCCACTAAGGAGGTGGGTTAGCTGGTAAGCAACAGCAGAGCACTCTGGTGAGGATTTTGTGGAAAGGCTAGTTGTTTTTTGTTACAATCGTCTTGACACGGGGTTATTTCTTATTGCTGTAATCAACAATATTTAAGCAGGTGCTTTTAAAATATTGTTAAGAGCGGCTAGAGTATTGGATGGGCAGCTGTTAATTCAAAAAGAGGGAACAACCAAAATAAATAAGTAGTAAATCAGTGCTGGAAAACAGTTTCTCAATAGTGAACTGTATGTTTTTAAAGGCAAGACATTTGAAGTCCTTACGTGGAACGTGACCAGTGTATTTTGGTATCATCCCTTCAGGCCTGTAGGATCTGTGGTACACCTTTGGAACGTGGCTAACTTCAACGTTGGGCTTCTCGCCTCTAAAATAATATAAAATGACCATTCAGAATGAATCCTTTAAAAAACGGACTTGGATGCTTTTGGAATTTTCTTAGCCGGTACCACGTTTCACTTAATTTTCAGATTTGAATTTCAACTTTCTCGTCCATGGTTCATGGAGATGTGTATTCTTCCATCTGTAAGCGCACTGCTCACTGAGCCTTCCTTGTATGTCCAAAACACTCAAATGTTCCCTGAACATTGCTAATATCTATTGCCTTTTATGGGAGTTCTGCAAAAGCACAGAATCAAATGAGCAAAGGGAGAAGACTGCAGCATCGCTAGTGAAGTCATAAGATGAGTCTTAGATTGCATCTCCCATACTTTTTAATGGACCAAGATTTCATTCTTTGGACCAAGGTCTGCTCTCAGCTACATACCTGCAACTCCAATAATGCAGTGCATTTTCCTCTTTACTTTATGCAGGAAAAGCTGTGTGGAAGGGGATCATGACCATAAAATGTGTATTATTTACCGCAGAGAAACATTTGACACATGGCGCACTAGCAGCCTCCCTAAAGCAAAACCTTAATTACAGCTTCGGCAAGGATTAACAAATAGGCTGTGGACATTTCTACACGTTCATTAAAGCACCTTAGTTACTGAACATTTAGTTTATTAATTGACTAATGAAATACTAACTAAATGCACAGTAACTAAAGTTACTGCACAGTAATGCCAATGCACAGTTATTCTGTGACGCTTGCTGTGCATTAGCCTAATACCACTGCGCAGTAGTGTATGAGCATGGTTTTTTGACCCGCCACGCTACTGCGCAGTGTTATTAAGCTAATGTGCAGTAAGTGTCTCGTGTAAATGCGCCCCGTGGTGGCATATGAGGGGTGAGTTTGTGTTGGTTGAGCACCAGTCTATGGGAAATGGATGTGTTGAGTTTAATGTATTTCCTTATCAGCTGGAGGGAGAAGGTACAGGATCTTTCACTTGGTGGCAGGAGGAAAGGAAGAACTCCCTTGCACCCAATTTAGGAATGGAGAACCTCACATCTGATGCCTTGCCACCTCTTCCAAGCTGCCAAATGCTTTGCCTTTCTCAGCCATTAAATGGGAGGACCCCACTGTTAGGAGCCCTGGCCTCTTCAGCTGCTAAAGCAGCACCCTTGCCCTCCCCAGGACAAAAGACACAAATCACTTAGTTTACTCCTCTGGTTTCACCTTCCTGACAACTGCAAAGGCTTTGTTGACAGGAAGTTTTGAGCTGACTGAAGTTTTATGGCAATAAAAGTGCCAAATAAACAGAAAAAACCCCAACGTTTGAAATTCATTGGCAAAACAAATACATGACATCGATAGACATCCAATGAGTTTTGCTGGATTAAAAAAACACACTGTTGCCAAGAGTTTCGTCTCATCTCACCACTGAACTTTCAGTCTTCACCAGAGCTCACACGCAGGCACCGCCAAGATCAGACTGGGCTCTTGGCTGCAAAACGGAGGCCCTTTCTCGACTGAGAATTCAGCTACTGCTATGGACTGTCCTGCTGCACACAACGGGGCGTGGGTGAACATCCACAAGAGAATTGTGCCAGGGTAGCAACACGTGTCATCAAAGTCATCCTTTTTATTTATCCATTCATTTATTTGATTTATACGATGCCCTTCCCAACAAAGGTTCAGGGAGGCTTGCAATAAGGGGACAGAAGAACTTATAAAACAAGAGCACAACAACGGGACCAAAAAAAAAGAAACCCCCAAAACCCCAAAGAACAAAACAAGCTTAAAACAGAACTAGAATAGCCACATAAAACAGAGAGCCACTAAACCACATCTCAGCCAAGCTTTGGTGGCTAAATGCCTGCCCATATAGGAAGGTCCTATATACCTTTCAAATCACTTGGATTCTGGAGGCCTCAAGAGGAAGGGAATTCCAGAGCTGAGGAGCAACTGCAGAGAAAAACCTGCCATGTTTTTGCCAAATGGATTTGCTGTACTGATTGTATTTGCAGGATCTTGCTCCTGGCTGACCTCAGGAATCACAATGTGGTATATGGGTGCTTTATGCAACTAAGGTGTGGATCCAAGACAAGACCTTACATCCAACATGCAGCAGGAGATGCTGCAAATACTTTAAAAGGGTCATCAGCCGGGTCCCCACAGCAAGTAGGTTTTTGAGTGTCACAGTTCAAATTGTGGGCAGAAAACATCAGCACATGCAAGACATGAGTTAACATCCTTCCATATACAGTGCTTCTTGTGTGCTCTTTATTGTAAGTATTAAGAACTTATAACAGAGAAGCAAGGTTTTAAAATACAAGTATTAAGGACATGCACCATGCTGCAGTTTTCATAAACCAACACAGGCTTATATGCTCTAGTGTATCAAGCCATTCTTAAAATAATAATCTTATATAATGCTTTTCACCTGTATATTATCTAATATAATTATATTTATCTAATATATATAATACAATTATTATATCTATAATATATAATATAATTATATAAGTCTAATATAAACTTACTTGTTTATTTTACTAGAAGGATCACACGTGACTTGATCTATTATGTTCTTAAAATCCTGATAGCAATTCTTGGCCATCTCATGGTAGCGGACACCATCTCCAAGATCAGTGACCTTAGCTCTAGGCACAAACCCAGTCCAGCCTGGAATTGGTGGCTCTAGTAAGCTTCTCTTAGTTTCCTTAGTCCCTGAAAAATCAGAAGATAGCTTTTAAGTCAAAATTACATCTACCAGCTAAGAAAATTACCTGGTTCTGTTATATCATAGGCAATTGGAAAATACCTGCTTAAACAAAAAAAGTGCTGTTAATTCATATGCCAGGCCCTTACCAAGAGTAGTCTCACTGGGCATCTTTACACATGCTTCGGGGTGGAGGGCACTTTAATTACAGAGGCTCCAAAACTGACTGTAATTAAAGTGTTCACAGCAACACATACAGTCAGCATCCTGAGCTTCAAAATGGTGGCGGGGTGCTTTAACGAAAGTTCATTCAATGAGCTTTTTGAAGTATTTTGAAGCTCAGGGACACTGAATACACGTGACGCGGAGGCTGTTGGAGCATGCTAATTAGCACACTCCAGCAGACTCGATTAATCGAATCTGTTCAGACATGTGCTAATTAGCACACATCGGAGCAGATGTCCAGCGCATGTACACGTGCCCATTATTCTGATATACACCTTAGCGGTACCTAGTTAACATTACTGTTTTCTAATGCGGGGCAGATCGTGAAGTCCTTGCTCACCTAAATCAAAGTGTCCAATCAACCCATGTTTTCTGGGACAGTCCTGATTTTCAGGGCAGTGCCCTGCTGACCCTGCAGATTCCCTAAAATGGGATGCTTGTCCCAAATTGGAAAAAAATTGCTCCCAGAAGGGAGGTAAAGTAATACTGCTTGGCACACACTCAGAGGATTCTATGAAATCCATGTCACTCGGAGCAGTGCTAATTAGCCCACCTGAAACACTGCACTAACCCAAACCAGAAGTCATATAAACGGTGTCAGATTTTACTCCGCCAAGACTTGTTGCTTTACTAAAAAGAAAACAACCTCTAGACTTTGGCCAGTGGTCAATTAAACACGCTGGAGTCAGTAAGAGCTTTTTAATTGAATGCAATCAGATCTAACAGGTGATCTCCAAATGCTTGTGCAGGAATATTAGTACCTTAGTTCTGTCCAAATTCCAACACCAGAAATAGCATCCTACTTGCCATATACCTGTCCCCTGCCATTTTAACAGGAAACAACTGAAATTCCTGTTTTAAATTGCAGTGTTGTATTTCTTTGCCCTGTTAGGCAGCTGCCATTTTCAAGCACTGGAGGCAGTTGCTGATCAGCGGTGGATGAAACGACAGAGAGAAAAGCACTCATCCCAGACCGAGGAACTGCAATTTGGGAACATGCCAGTGGATATAATGACTGCCAAGGATCTGCAGGATCCTGGTGTGGCCATCTTTTGCAGCACAAAGGCCTTGGCAAATTATGACCTGATGCCAGAACTTTTGTGTTTCGAGATCATGGCTGAGTACAGATGTTCCAAAATCCTTTGGAGGAAGTGCTCTATGGCACTTAACTTAAAGTGATGTAAGTTAGTGCGGGAATGAACCGAACAGACATTTGCTGTTCAGTGGTTGGGAGTAGGCTCAGTGCCTGCCCATACTGGCCAAGGCTAGCAGGTGGGGAGCACTCCTGCACACCTCCCAGGAGGCTGCCAGAGCTAGCCCCACTCCCTCTGCCAGCTGGCGACTGTCTGCAGTGGCTTGGGGGGAACGGTCGGGGGAAGGGAGACCCCACTGTGAGGGCCTCTCCACAACTTGCTGGCTGGGGTCTCAGGGGAAGGGCCAGGCTGGGTCTGCATGGCCAGGGGATTCCCTTATTCCCCCACATCAGTCTCTTTGCAGCTGCAGCCAATAACTACGGTACAGGGCTGCCCAGCTGGTTTTTCACTTCTTGACAGCTGCAGCCAGGAGCTGCAGCATGGGGCTGCCCAGCTGGCTTTTTGCTGTGCCAGGAACTGGGTTGCGGGGCAGGAAGGAAGCCCTCCTGCTGGACAGACCTGACCACCCCCCCAGAAGCCCCAGCCAGCAAGCTGTGGTGGGTTCATTGCAGCAGGGGGCTCCCTTCTCCCCTCCCCCATCCCAGCCTCTTGACACCTCCAGCCAGAAGCTACGGTGCTGCCCGGCTGGCTTTTTGGTAACTGGGTCCAATAGGGGTTCGAAATAGAGCCTCTCTGGCATGTGGACCTGGCTCAGCCCCCAAGACTTGAGCCTATAAGCTTTGGGGAAGGGATCTGCACTGCAGAGGCTCCATTCCTTCCCCCTCCCCCCACACCTGACTGTGCAGGGAAACGACAGAGAAGACAGGGCTGGCCCAGTGCTTACCCAGAGCAGATGAGCCAACGCTAGCAAGCCAACCAGTGAGGGACCCCTGGATGGCGGCAGAATGCAACTGGCATTGAAGAGTGATGGGTGTAGTACAGATGTTCAAAAAAGCACTTAACCTAAAGCTCTTTAGTCTATTACCACATCCATCAAGGGTTAACTTAGAGCAGGATCCACCCTTTCAAAAGCACTTTAAGTGCTGTGAACATCTGTTTTGTTATGGCTTTAAAGTTCTTTCTATAATGCACATGAAGGGTAAGATCTGCACCTAGCCCATGTTTTTCAAAGAAGAGAAGGTACTCAATCGTCTATGAATTGTGAAGTACTACAAAATAATAGGCTTGTGTTAAGTGGATAGTATTTGCTTCCAATTCAGATTTGGCCAATTCAGGGGACAGTGATTCGATTCGGTGATTCAAATCACTGCCCTGAATTAATTCGGCTGCTGCCGAATCAGATGCATCTGCAAATCGGACAGGCCCATCCTCCGCCCGCTCTCCCAGCCCTGTCAATAGCTGTCCCATGCAGCCCCAGCTCCTGGTTAAAATTAAAAAAAAAAGCCCCAAACTCATCAGCTCCTGCCAAGCAGCGGGGCAATCCCCACTGCCCTCCACTGTCCTATGCTGTGTGGGGGACTCTGCCATGAGCTCCCAGAAGCCCTGAGACCACTGCAGCGGTCAGTGAGTGTGAGGCTTTTTTATTTTTTTTAAAGAGCCAGGAGCTGAGGCCAGACAGGGCAGCCATTGGGGGGGGGGGGAGGTGAGGGGCTGGGAAAGTGAGTGGGGTTTGGATGGCAGAGCCCCCCATGCAGTGCAGGGCAGCGGGGATCACTCCCCCACCTGGCAACAGCTGGTAAGTGGGAGCTTTTTTTTTATTTTAGCCTGGGAGCTAGGGCTGAGCAGGGCAGCCATGTGCGGGGGCTGGGGGAGCAGGTAGGGGCTGGCGCCTGGCAGGGGTGCCCCCATGGTCTCCTATCCCCTCCTTCAGCCCCTCTGTCCCTGCCCCGTACTTACCGGCATGGAGTCCGGGTCCAGCTCCCCAGCCCCCCTGTCCCTGCCCCGTACTTACCGGCATGGAGACCGGGTCCAGCTCCCTGCAGCAGTGAGCGAGGACTGCCCAAATTGCCGAAGCTCTCCGAATCTTTTCCAAATCGATTTGGAGAGCTTCAAATCAATTCGGACCTTTTTATTGGTCTCCTGATTTGATTTGGATTCAGAAATTCAGCTGCTGAATCAGGCCGAATCTCCTCCAAATCGAATCAGCACCTGAAGCTTCGCATGGTCCTACAAAATAAGCTTCCTTATGCAAAGGAAAGAGTTGGAGGAAAAGGAGGTACAGCTGATGGGAGAACTGGAATCCTTGGAACACTCTGTGATCATTATGAGAGTGAGAAGGACAAATTTTAAGGAGTTGTGATGTGAGAGTAACTTTGTAGTTTTATGTACATGTTAGAGAGGCTGGGTGATTCCCCAGACAAACCTGCAATGAAATGTGACAATACGGTAGGGCTAAAACTCTAACTACGGAACTTATATTAACCATATCGGCACCAAACTAACACCGTTTATTATTAGAACAGGGAGTTACATTTTTGGAAACTGAGAAACAGATGTTAGTACTTTATGAACGAGGAAGAATTAGAAGGGCCTCCTTGGTTAGATTGCAAAACTAGTGGTTTCTTTGCAACTATTTGGCGGACTCTGACCAGGTCAGAATTCAGGCCCACGTAGCTGAAGACAAAAATCGCAAACAGATGAGCTATCTCCACAACTATAATTTGCTACTGCTACCATTTGTCCTAGCTGGCTCAGGATTTCTATCATTTGATTTTACAAAATATCTCAAAGATGCTCACATCACCCACTATAGGATTCAGTTCCATGTGCCAAACTTCATCGACCTAATAAAATAAATGAAGCCATTTACATGCTTAGAGGTAAGAACATGGAAATGGGTGGAAACTACCATCACCTCTAAAAATTATAATTCACCCTAGCAGAAACAGCTTCTTGTCTCTAGGGGCTGTATGACACTCCTGCCACTGGCATTTTTAGCGTGGTAAAGCAAGACAGCTTTTGCTGCTGGAAAATGTTCTTTATACACAGTACAATTTGTGGAACAATACAGGGTCAAATGTACATTTGTTTTTTTTTTGCTTTTACTCAAAACCTCTTTAAGTTTCCTGATTAACAAAGGGTTAAAGGCTCAGTTTTCCCCTCCCCTCCCCCCCGCATTTGAGTAGTATTTTAGCACAGGATCACTTTCTCCATAAGGTACTTTACTTGTGACACATAGATGGCAGGATCCAGTCCTAATGAAACAGGCAAAAATGTCATAACCAAAATGTCTTAAGATTAGATACCAAAGTAAGAGACTCAATTTTCAGAGACAAGGAACTTCTGTAGATCCCATCACAGTTTATCTGAGCTGTCGGTGCACAGCAGTTTGGAAACACGGGCCACTTTTCCACAAAATAAAGGAACTCCAACTCAGCCTCCCCCTACGTAGCAGAGATGTTCAGATGAGGGTTAGGACGGTTGCTTGGAAAACAGGAGAGACACCTCTGAGAAAGTCAGATCTCACACTCTGGAAACATCTCTTCTTTCTGCTCTTTTTATGCTTTTTCTCGGTGTCTTATTAGCACCAGACTTGAAATGTAGGCTGCGGGTTTTAGTGAGTAGCTTGCTTTGTGGACACGTTGCAGGCCGAATCTGTGTTCAGTCCCATTTATGCAACACATCGGTGCAAGACCCATGGAAATCCTTTCACATCAAGAAGTGTGCACCTGTAAATGTACCGAATTAAGGAGACCGAAGGCTTAGAAAAGAAATAGAAGGTGAAAAGGCCAAATTTTGTCTCTGACTGGACACGTGTGCAATTTCCATTGAAATCAGGGCAGTACGCTAGCAAGCCTGAAGGCAAAATCTGGTTCTTAAATGTGTCCTTGAAGACTGTAATTATATTTCACATTGTACTAGTAACATTAATTGAATGTTTAGCTGAAATCACGTTCTTTACAAGTTAAATACAGTACCTAGCATATAAGGATGGTGTTTATAATTATACTCATAAAGGGCTTGTAAAACATCTTCATTGCAGCAGATAGGTGGAAGTCGGGGTGTAGTGGCTGCTATGTATCTTAGCTCATCCTTCATGTCGTTGTTTCTTTGGACAGCATTGTACATGGAGGTCATGCACACCAATGAATCGTTTCCATAACTAGTGCCAACTCTATAGCATCTTTGAGGGATGTAGCCTGCAATGTTAGCAAATTTTTAAATAAATTTCCCAGGATCTAATAGAAAAGTATATAAGCATTTGAAGTCAGAGGTAAATAATCAAACACTTAATTATCTGCCATGCTTAGCTCTTCAAATGAGTTCTTGTATATTCATGTACTTGATAACAAGACTTCCTTAGTTTTGAAATATAACCTTAAGAATAAAACACATTTTGGCAAGGGCTATGTGTGTACAATCCCTTTATGACAAAGCACTTTATTATGTGAATTTCTCTAACAGTGAATAAGGAGCATGTCCTATATATCAATGGGGTAACCGGATACTATTCATTGTATTTTATAGCCCTTACTTATGATTATTTACAGATCTTTCATTCTGGACTTGTTGCAAATCATAGTTGTACTAATGGTAGATAGCAATAGAAGCAAATATTTCATGCAGAAGTGCAAGTCCCAAAGCAAATTTTATCATGTACATACTTACTTTCATTATAAGGAATGGTTGTATAATGCATCAGGTAATATTTAACATTCAGCCTGAATGCTCTGACTATGTTAAACTCTAAGGAAATAGGGCTAACCTCCTGCATGTGCACTGCATGCTAACCCTTCAAGGACTATATACAATCCACAAACTATCAGCTGGACAGCCCTGATCTAAACTGAAAAAATGTCTACAAAATCCGGGATCTGAATCAAAAATGAACATTAGAGTGGTCTGGGTCTTTATCAAACTGTTGTATGTGTGTCCCCCATCAGCTAACCAATTAACACAATTAAATGAATTCAAAATCAGCGCTGTTATTCTGTACCAGGTTCTCCCAACCAGCCATGCAGAGTGGTGATTTTAAACCATACTTACGTTCTTCTCATCACAAACCCAGTCCCTGTGAAAGGAATAGTATAGGGGTTGCTATTCCAAGTCTGTCATCAGAGGATTTCCCCTAATGCAGGCAGTTCTCCACTGGACAGTTCAGTTGGATTTAGGGCTGAGAAAGGAGAGCCAAACAGTATTTACCTGTGTATCCAGGTAGCAGAGGGTTGCACACATCCACATATTTTCGGATTGGTTTCATGCTCTCCCTTACTGAAACAAAATGGACATGGATACCTAAACTCTCATCTCAAGTCATTCACTATACATCTGTTATAGCATGAAAAATAAGCAATAGCTTGTTTTAAGGGTAAGCTAACGGGCCAAAGTCAGCTTATGTATTACGTTAGTGTGAACTCAAAAGTTAATTTCACCGAAGCCATATGTCAGAAACGTCACTCCAATATAATCAAGAACAAAAATACTATCCTGCTGTTTTAATATTGTTGTTTTCTACTGAACAGTCTCATACACTAGAATATTAAAAACGTATAGAGAGCTACATAATAGATCCCCTGTTTTATGTGAAGTAATATTAGAACACGTGGAATGGAGCTTTGCAGTATATCGCATGCATAAATAGCATCAACTGGGAGCAGACCAGCGAGGTAAACACGTGTTATTTTTGCACTATTCATATGTACAAAAGTTCCTCTTAAATCTGAATCAAATATTTCAAATAATACCTTAGCTTAATAATGTTAAGGTTTTAGATCTTGCCTCTGTAAATAGATAGTACTACCTCTCTATTTGTGCTATGCTTGGTACTGCCTACAGGCAACAGCTGCAAATATTGTACTGATAGCTGTATCTGCATAAAACAAAAGTCAGCATTAAAGTGACCAGCGTGCATCTGCTAGTTATGAAAATCTAGACAGCAGTTAAAGGTGATCAAATATCTGCCTATAAAATGATTCAAAGAAACTAGAGCGAATAAAATGCACTGATGCGCCACAAGAATGCATCTACGAGTATAAAGTCAGCCCTTAAAGAACAAGTCAAAAGTCTTGCAGGTGCAAAAAGGAATGTTTTCCAAAAAAAGCAGCGAGTCTGCTGCTAAGGTGGACTGCGGTGAGGAAGCTGCTATAAATGTGAGCTTGTACGGCAACAGTGTTCTCAAACCAAGCACACGCCGACAACCTTGGAAGTACTTAGAGGAAGAGCGATATGTAAAATGAAGGCTGCAATAGAGACACTCACTAGAGCAAGAGCACTGAAGGGTAATAAATTTGCCGTAACCACTGGAGTGATAAAAGGAGCTAAAATGTTATCGCCTTGAAAACACAATTTACAGTAGGGGGAGAAGGATATGATTACAAAGTAAAATTTAACCTTAAGGCAACGATGTGAGAGAGAAGGGAA